GGCACATTAGCTACCAGTCAATAGGAAGTCATTTTGGAGTTGGAAAATTCACTGTTGGTGCTGTAGTCATGCAAGTGTGCTGGGACATTAGTCGTCTCTTGCCATGCAGGACTCTGACTCTTAGCAATGTGCAGGACTTAGTGGATGGCTTTACAGCTATGGGGTTCCCAAACTGCAGTGCAGTGGAGCAATAGATGGTACGCACAGCCCTATTGTGGCATCAGAGCACCTTGCCACAGAGTACGTCAACAGAAAGGGCTACTTTTCCATTGTTATGCAAGCACTTGAGGATCACCAGCAGTGCCTCACTGACATCCGTATTGGCTGGTCAAGGAAGGTGCATGATGCTCACATCTTTAAGAACACAAGACTGTTCAGAAAGCTAAAAGCAGGGACGTTCTTTCCTGATCAGTGGATTACATTTGGCAATGTTGAAGTGCTTGGGGGATCCTGCCTGCCTCTTACTCCCTTGGTTCATGGAACCATACATTGGACACCTCGACAGAACCAAGGAGAGATTCAGTTACAGTTTCAGCAGGTGCAGAATGCCTGTTGAATTTGCTATTGGTAAATTGAAAGGGCGCCGGCATTGTTTACTCACCAGATTGGATATCAGTGCAAAAAATATTCCACTGGTTATAGCTACCTGTTATGTCCTGCATAATATTTGTGAAGCAAAGGCGGAGAACTTGCCTCAGGAGTAAAGGTAGAGCGGCTGTCTGCTGAATTTGAACAGCTGGACACCAGGACTATCAGACGAGCTCAATGCAGAGCTATATGGCTTAGGGAGGCTTTGAAAGAGCACATTAACAGTGAGCCACAGTAATGTGCTGTGGTGTACTGTGCTCATCCTGGCACTGCAGTTTGGGAGCCTGTTTGGTGCTTGCTGCACATCTGTGCGTATGTCACTGTAAGTGCAGCTAAGAAAATGTTGGGTTGCTTGGTGTACATGTATGACTACAGTGTTTGCCACTGATCCTCTGGGTGGTGAGCATACAAGCCCATTATTTTCACTGCCAGCAGGCATTATGCACCATGTGTTGTAAACTAATAAAGATGAATCACTTTAAAAATAAGAACTTTATTCAGTTATGAAAACAGCACCTAACAAACAATCTGAAGGACATAATAATAAATAGATTTTGAACTTCGAACATTTTCAGAACCTTAATAAACAAACAAGGGACAGGAACATTGATGTCCATTGTAGCTACACATACATCAGCTGTGGCTCTTGCAGGTCAGTGTATGTGAAGCTGTGGTTAGCCATGCTTTTCCCCCAGTGTGGAGTGGTAGGGGTAAGCGTGCTGGTTCTGAGGCCACGTTGAATGGCGAGGCGGGTGCAGGGAGGCACTATGCTGCAGCACTCCACCAACTGCAATGACAGTCAAGCCCGGGATTGTTGAACCTAGAGGTCCACAAGAGTCTGCAGATCTGTGTTTGCTAATGGAGAAGCTCCATTATGTCCTGGTGCATTTCCCTCTCCTGTTCCTGCTGGGATTCCTGGGCATTTCTCCTCTCCACTCTTTTCTTCTCCGTACAGTCTGCGAATTCACTCTCTAGTCCCTCTGTTCAAGGTCTGATGTAGCAGCGTCTTGCAGGATCTCGCAGAACATGTGTTCCTGTGTCCTCTTTTTTTCTCCTCCTTATCTGGGTCAGTCGTTTCACTGGTGTGGAAGGAAAACACCTCAAGGCCTCAATGGAGGTAGCTACAGATAAGACACGCAAAGATACCATTGTCAGTATAGTCTGTACAAAAAGCAAAACTTAAGATTCATAAATCCCCCCTTCCCTTGCTCACCTAATGTGTTAAACAAGACATGCTTACTGGCACTTCTGCTTCTGAGTACTTGTTCACAGCACCACTAACAGTTCCAGCCATGGTGAGTATGACCTGCCCGGGGTGAGGGAAACAAGGAGGGAACTGCTTGGTAGCATGAAACTATGAGTATAGGGCACTGGCACTGAATACTGGCAACATTTTACACAGGTGGTGGTTTTAGCTGATATCTCACTCCTGGGGGTAACAAAGACAGAGAAAGCACAGCTGAAGTTGCCTGTGCCTGTATGCTGCTAACCTGCCAAAATTATTGCCCAATAGTGTGGGAAAGTGTGCTACCAAGAAGGAAGAAATAAGGTTGACATCCCTAGAAACCTTTAGAAATGGATCGCGGTGTACTTCCATGAAAGTTTCATTGAGATCTGTGAGGAGGATTCAACGGACATCCCGGTGTACATAAACAAACTGCTCCCCACAGCTCCCCCTGCCTAACTGTACAGAGGAATGAAAAGCAGGTAACAACTCTGCCTCTCCTTGTTGTTCCTTTACCTCTTCTAGTACGAGTAAATCAATTAAAATCAACAGCTATGTGCTGATAAGTTGGGGGAGTCATACTGTAATGGAAAATTTATTTACACGCTTACCTGAGGTTCCTTCCCTGTTTCAGGCTTACCTGTACTCAACTGTAGGGACTGGCTGGACTGTGATGGAGTCAAAAACAGGTCCAGGCTCACTGCATAGCTAGACCCCCCGGTCGCCTGCCCTGTCCTCCTCATCCACCTCCTTCTCCTCACTGTTCACAGCAAGGGCCTGTGACTCAGGCTCCTCGGAGGTATCCATAGTAGTGTACCGGGTCATGGTAGGGTCTCTGCCAAGTATGACATGCAGCTCTTTGTAAGACCAACAGATCTGCAGCTCTGCACCCAATTGATTGTTGGCCTCCCTGGCATACCAGAATGCATACTGTTCCTTGGCTTTCACATTGCGCTGCTGCTGGCCACTGTTGTAGCCTTTCTCCTATATCCCCCAGCCCGAGCAATCTGCTTGTAGATGTCAACATTTTTGTGGCTGGCTCGGAGCTGTGCCTGCACATCCTCTTCTCCCTACAGTCCCAGGAGGTCCAATATTTCCTGTCTACTCCAAGCAGGAGCATGTCTGGAGCATGTAGCTAGTATGGTCAGCAGCACAATTGCACACAACAATGTACCATTACTGGATTAATAAGAGAAAACTCCCAGCCTACCTGTAGAGATTTTAAAGTAACAAAGGTGAAAAAAAATTATATGTTGTCATAGTCTCAATCTAATAGGCATTTAGCTACCATTGATGGGCCTCAGAATCAGTTAGGTCTAGTAATATTACCTTTGCAAACTTTTTGAGAAATTGAGCTCTGAAATTCAGGCTGTGCAATCACGTAATATACGCTT